GACACTGGGAGTACGGGCTATTGTCAAGTCCTGACCTGGGTCAGAGGTCACTGTCACTTGGGTGCACAGGCAGCAGCTGCTGACATCTTCTGTCCTGATAGGTCTCCAGCCCCAACCCAACCTTATCTCCTTTAACTGCAGTTTTCTCTGATGCAGTCTGCCATCTCTGATGGGCTACTTCCTTGGTGCCATCATGGGGTGGGCGGGCGCCGGACACAGCTGCCTTCTGGCTCCTTTGGAGAGTGTGTAGTAGCCCAAGGGCTTGCCTTTCATCCATTCCCCCAAACCACCCTTCCTGGACATTGCTCACACTCAGGTATTGTGTAGAATGAGGACTTTTTCCCCTTGAGATTGCCACCCCCAAGGCTGCTCCTTAGAAAACGGGGTGGAATTGTGGATGCAGAATTGTCCCTGTCAATGTCACGACCACCTACAAACCCCCCAGTGCTCACATGAGTGTCTCAGAGCGGCTCCTCGTCCTTTCCCATGGATCCAGGTGGTGTCTGAATTCCAATTTTGCTTCCTCCAGCACAGTGGTAAGTTTCTCCGTGACATTTATAAAATAATCACTCAGAGGCTTAACATTCTTTACAAACTGTATGGCCTAGGGCAGGCTTCCTGCTAGCTAGCTCTTTCATCTTAAATGAACCCATTTCTATTCATCTGTGTTTTGTCACATGGCCATGGCGTTACCAGTCTGCTGGCATCTTGCTGCTCCTTGGTCAGCAGCTGGTGTCTCCCCCTACTCTCCTTTCTTCTCTCCATATCTCTGCCTGGATTTCCCGCCTGCCTCTAAGCTGCCTTGCCATAGGCCAAAACAGATTTATTTATTAGCCAATGGAAGCAACACATATTCACAGCATACAGAAAGACATCCCACAGCACTCCAGCCCCCCTCTTCATCCTCCCAATTGGCAGCACCACTGTACACTTTTCAGTGGGAAAGTAGCTCTTAGGAAACAAACTTCTCTCTGCCTTCCAGCTCTTGGTTAGGTCCCTAAGACTTGGCAAGTTTGTTGTTGTTGTTGTTGTTTTTAATCTTTCACAATAAAAGCTCATCTTTTTCCTTCTTAAAGTTTCATTCAACACAATTGTCTCTTCCAGACTTCCAGATAGATCTGCTCACCACAGATGTGGACTCACCTCTGTGAGACATGCTGTTCACTTTCAAAAACATGTGGTAGTGGTTGCCTCTCTGCCTGTGGTGGTTGGAGGGACAGAGCTGGCCATTGCCTTGCCTGTGTGCTAAATATCATTCCTGTAGAGGTGGGTTTTCTCATTCTGGTCTCCAAAGCGATGCTTTTCTATGTACTGTGTGTGTGAACATGACGGAGAGGCCTGCTGAAGTGTGCACTGTGGAACTTCCCCACATAGCCTGTCTGGAGGATTCCACCTTCAGGATCATGTTGAGATGATGTGCTGAGGGCCTGAAGGACCTCCTTGGGTAAGTTTTCCAGGTAAAGAGTTCAGGGGGAAGATGACATCTTACACAGTGTGGTGGTCATTGCTGGTCGTCAACTAGACAGGCTCTAGAATCTCCTAAGAGACAAACCTTGTCTGTGAAGGAGGGTTCAAGATTGGGTTTGTTAAGACTCCCCGAGCTTGTTTTTAGATTCCACTCATGAGACACCTGTCTTTCTGTTTGGCTAATGTTTCACACATGTTCCCTACTCTAATCCATGTTGCTGAAGACATGTCCTTCTCTTTAAGGCTGAATGACAGTTCATTGTGTAGTCACACCACATTTTCTTTATCTGTTCACCTGTGGGTGGACCTTAGGTTATTCACACCTCTGTGCTTCTGCAAATAATTCTACAATGAACATGGTGAGCAGAGATGTCTCTGAGACACTGACTTCATTTCCTTCAGATAATTACCCAGGAGTGAGATTGCTGGATCAAATTATAGCCTTATTTTAGTGTGTGTGCATGAATGTGTGCTTCCAAACACACATGCAAGCTTCTATGATCTGTTCATCTTTGCAATTTCAGTTTTTAATTTGTTAAGTACTTTATATACGCTTGTAATAGAGACTGTATGAGAACTCCAGCACCCACAAACCTCAGGGACACACATGCTCCTCCTTGCTTTTCCCACATCCTTTAGATTTGTCAACTGTAGGTTGACTGTTGTAATATAGCCTGCAGAAGTTCTGCAGCCCTAAGTTGAGACTGTTTTTTTTTTTTCTTTGAGATTTGCTTCTTCTAGTAACCAAGGGAATACTCATACCTGGGACCACTGCTGTTTAGGTTGCATATACTTTGACAATATACAGGTATCAATCCTCCCCCAACACCACACACATGCATGTGCATGCGCGCGTGCACACACATACACACACACACACACACACACACACACACACACACACACACACACACACACACACAATAGGCAGTCCCTTCACTCCTGAGTGCTGTCTTGAGATCATAGCTTTGTGATACATTCTGATAGTTGTGTAAGGTACTTGTTGCATGGAACCACACTCTACTCCTGAGCTGTATGCTCCATGTGAGCTATGCTTTATGAGGAGGAGGCCATCCTGGCTCCTGGACAGTCACTGGGTGAGGCACACCCAGGATCCCTGAGGAGCCCCCAGCTTTACAATTTCACGAGGCTTCCCTAACATCAATATCCCATTTCATTAGCTATACAACATAGGCCTGATGCTTTCCTGGTGGTTCCTGCTGTCCCAGCCTCAGAACTGGGGACTGATCCTTCCAACCAAAGCTGGACACTATGACTAGGAGACAAATCACAGTGTAACCACTGATCTCTAGCAGTGGGAGAGTGTAGTGCTCATTTCTATGTCCCAGAGTTCCCATATTTCAGCTGGCCCAAAATGAGATGCTCAACAAAACCCAGGTAGATTTAATGCTACACCCTTGTGCCTTCAGCAACAGGAACTGCAGGTCTCACCATGTTGGTCAACAAAGCTACCTGCCTGTCACTAAAGGCACCTCCCAGGACATAGTTCCTCAGTTCCAGGAAATCATGGCCCTGTCCAGCACAGAGCAAGCAGCACTTGTTCTGGCCCATCTTTCACAAGTCTTACTTGTGGCTCTAAAACATTCCTTATTTCTGGTCCTGGGGATTACTAGATCACTGAGCAGGGACAGGATGGTGGACAGAGAGTCTGTCTACAACTTGAGAGCAAGGGGTACATGCCTGTGCTTTAAAACAAATCACTTTGGCACTTGTTCAAGGGCAGATCACGGTTACAGAACACTGAGCTGAGCAAGGAGGGGATGGTTTGTACACACAGCATCTTAATATCTAATCAGTGGGGAGCTGAGGAGACCCTGCTACGCTTGCTTCATGTCTGGCTGACTCTGTTCCCAAGGCAGTCCTTCCCAGGTAACCTCCTCAGCTGCAGAAATGTGGCCTTTCAGACCCTCTGAAAGGTGGAACTTCCCAGCTACCTTAGGCAAGGGACCGGCAGTGACTTTAACAGACCTGGAGGGCTATCCACTCATGAGTGGGTTCTAGGTCACAGGGGCAGATGACTGAACCTTGCCCCAGGCACCTTGAGGGTTTTTACTTCTCATGTTCAGGGGTCCACTTTGGCCAGTGCTTGTGAACATTTGAGCATTTCCTGTGTAGACCCTCAACCCCACTGCTAAGCGCTCAGTGTCAAGAGAGGCTGTAGATGAAATTCTAAACAGTCTTATTTACTAAGAAACATAGAGCCAAACACAGAGGAAATAGCCAAAGAGATCAGAGCAATAGCCACGACTACCTTTAGCTTACCACCAGCAATAGCTTCCCCGAAGAGAGAGACCTCTTCCTGCCTAACCTGCGCTTTTATTGCTTTCCTGTTCTGCCTTCTCATTAGCTCTAAGCCCAGCCACATGACTTCCTCATCACTGCCTGTCTATATAGACCTCCAGGTCTCTATGGTTGGTACTGGGATTAAAGGCTCCTGTTACCACATTTGGCTGTGTCCTTGACCACACACAGAGACTTTGCCTGCCATGTGATTGGATTAAGGGCATGTGCTACCACCGCCTGACTCTGCTTATGTCTTGCTTTGACCTCTAATCTCCAGGCAACTTTATTTATTAACATACAAGTAAAATCACATTTCAGCACAAATAAAATATCACCATAAGAGGCTCTTTCTACAATGCGCCAGTGTATCCAGTGGCTACCCCGACTCACCTAGGAGGTCACTCAGCAGGAACAGTGGGTAGGTAAGGCAGGTAGGCAGGTGAGGCTGACCAGATTACCTTGACCTGACCCAAGTCACTTCCCCCTAAGCCTATGCCAGTGGGACCTAGCAGCAGAGATACTGCCAACTAAAAGATGTCTAGAGGCAGCAGGGAGGGAGAACGGAGGCTGGAAGAACGCTAAGAAGACTCTCCAGAGATCTGGCCTTTCCCATGGGGACAGGTATCTGCAGAGGTTCTGGGAGCCTCAGTCAAAGCTCAGTCTGCTCAAAGCTCACCGTACGGTTGGTTGCTGCTCACCAGGCAGGACTGCTGGTGGCGGTGACCTTGAGGGGAGTACTTCCCTTGGAGACCTTACTCCACCATCTCCAGGTACGTGACCTTTGACCTTAGGGAAGAGTTACTGAAATTCAGTCCCATCTAAGCACAGCACTGGTGAGATCACCATGATGTTCTCGGGACTACTGTGCCCAAGAAGGGCAGCACTTGTCACCGCTGCTCTGTAGTGTGGAGGCTGCTGGGAGAGACCGATGTCCTGCATACCTTTTCATCCCCTCGGGAGTGCCATGTACAGTCTGGTGAGGTTCTCTGGGCCCACCCGTATTATTCTTACTCAGGCTCAGGGTTAGAGTTAGGGTCAGTCAAACTGGGAGCCTGACTCCAGGGTGACCACACAAAGCCCTTCTGATCTCCCCACTTCCCACGACTTTTGTATGGCCAGTTCTTTCTCCTTCTGGCTATATCCTCTGCGTTCCTTCCATTCCCATCTCTGAACTTATTTCTCATATGGAAGAGAAAAAAAAAAATCACAGAGCTTGATAGGGTACTTACTGATTCCTGTGCTCTGCCATCTCTTTACTGCCAGGGGTGAGGAGAGAGCAAAGAGCAGGCGCACGGTATTGCACGTGGCCATCTAAACACAGGCAGTGCTGAGGCTCCGATTTTAGAGATGATTGCACTTTGCTAGCTGCTAAGCTGCAGCCACACCTGGATGGTAATCAGACCGTGGGCGTGCAGTTAGGGAGCTCCACTCCGTGATTGGTGCTGATTGCCACCCCTACTGTGCCCTCTCCAAGCTTATCTCTTCACCTCTTTTTCCATAACCCTGGAGCTAGGGTGCAAATACGTTGAATACTTACACACCTGATAAGATGCATTCCTACCTGAGACATGTCCCTACCTACTACATGAGGTGACGGATTTTTAAGCAAATGTGAGTACCACACACATACCCAGAGACAGGGTTACACATAGATAAACAAAGCGACAAACACTGACATTGGCAGGACCGACATTCGCATACTCCCGGAAGTGATCTGTGAGTCAGACAGGAGGTGCTGTGGACTAAACTGTGTCCCTCAAATCCATATTCTGAAATACTCACCCCTGATGTGGCTGGATATGGAGCTGGAGGTTAAGTGCAGCCGCGGGGTAACCCTGATCCAGTATGAGTAGCTCTTTGCAGCGGAAACCGTGCAGCGTGAGGATGCATGGAAGATACATTGAAGTAGAAATGCCATCTGGGAGCTATGGGGAAGTCTCAAGGGAGCTCCTCCTGACAGCACCTGGGACTTGGACTTCCATCTTCCAAGTTATAAGGGAATTCCTGCCTGCTGTGTGAGCCACCCAGCCTGTGAGATCTGTTGGGAGCCTGAGATAACAAACAGGAGGTCTGCTTCCTGGGCTAGGATGTAGACATAACAGGATGCACTATCCAGCTGAAGGACAAGAGGGCAGCTGATTGGAGGAAGTCATGCCTCCACATGAAGGGTCACATCTGTTCAGTGCAGAGGCCTCCATCATCTCCGGGAAGCTGGGAGCCCAGATGGATAAAGCCTGAGCAGGGACCAGTGTGGTAGTTAATATTATTGTCAAATGGACAGGATTTGGGAGATAAACTAGTGGGCATGTCTGTGAGGGAATTCCTAGATGGGTTTTTTGATATATAAAGATCTACCCTAAAGGTAGATGGCACCATCCCCATGGACTGGAGTCCCAGACTGAATGGACAGAACAAGGTGAGCTGAGCACAAGTACCCATCACTCTCTGCTTCCCGACTGCAAAGGTGATGTAATCCGTGGTCCCTGTCTTCTCCACTATGATGGACTATATCATCCTGAGCTGAAGCCAAAACAAGCCCTTCCTTCTTCAAGTTGTTCTTGACAGATATGTTTGTCACAATAGCAAGAAAATAAATTAATACAACCAGACAGTAAGTAAGGTCTCCGGGAAAGCTGGTGGACAGTCTGTGTGGCTTTCCTGAAGGTGATGGGGGTCACTGATATCCTCTCAGGTCTCCCAGAGGTCACTTGGAAGTAGGGGACCTGGAACAGAGTTGAGTTGAGAAAGGCATTTGGGGGTGCTCTATGCCTGGCTGGAGTGAGGGTTCTCCTCTGAAACCCTCAAAGCAGTGCTGGGTCTCAGGCCACCCTATTCAGCAGGAGAGCACCTACTCACAGGGCATCATAACAGGGAGCTTTTACATCTTTATAAGGAGTTAGGAAAAAGATGAGTTATTATAAAAACTAATAAAAATGTCTTTTTTAAAAGACCCAACTATGTTTTATTCAAATGAGTTTTTAAAGTTTTCAGTCATTAATTCAACATTCAGGTTATTTTTAATAACTTTGTGAACCCCCTGCTATTTTATCAAAGGCAGTATGGGGGAAGGATGGGTGAGCAGTTTTGTTTATCCACAGATGAAAATCAGGAGCATGTATTGGGCTCAATTTCCTGCCAATTTTCAGCTTATTTATAAATAAGTTGGCATAGTTCTGTATATGAGGCTCCGTATTTGTCTTCTATAACATTCTGTAATTCATAATGAAATCTCGGGGTATGGGGACTCTGGAGTAGAGAAGAGAAGGGCTAAGAATAAGAATGTGGGGCCACCTGAGTGACATGGGAAGGGCCCTAAAGTTGGAGACTTCAGTCTCCCAAGCTGCGGTGGAGATCTTCACAATGCAGAGTCTGGAACCCAGCCAAGATGGGGGGGGGCAGGATGCTCGGTGGCACTTGTCACTCTGAAGGTAGGGGTTCAAGGCAGGGTGTACACTGACCCCAGAGCCAAAGAGGAGGAGAAGGGATGAACTTTCCTCATTACATGAACTTGACACCAAGCTGTCCAAAACAGAACCTTGTTGTTATCCATGTACTGCTCTTGGTCAGTTCTTAAAAGCACATTCCAGCCCAAACAAGATCATTCAGGCCTGTGTTCTCAGGGGTAGGGGGGCCATAAGCATAGTAGAAGAAAGCTGAACTCTAAGCTGGGGCTCATGTGGTGGTTCCAGCCATGTTATCACCGATCCAGTAATCAAGGGAATGTTACCGGGAGTCTTTGGACCAGATATCTCAGGGTTCTTGACATCTTGGTCAAAGAACTTAACAATAACACAAAAATAGCATAGTAGCGAGGGATTGTGTTCACAAACAAAGTGAAATAGTGTGGGCCACACTGCAAGGGAGCAGTGCTCTGAGCAAACATGAGTCTTTGAAACTTGTAACTGCCTAGGTGGGTCCAAGAGGCAGAGGAAATAGTCTCCAGGGCTAGAGTGTGGGTGGTTTTCTGTTTTGATTGACAGTCTTGAATTAATGTAAGCCTTTGCTCTTTGTGGATGTCCTTTCTGATTATGCTTTCTGTTTTTTAATCATATGCACACCCAATCATGAATAGGTATAAGATAGCAAATAGGATTTTTTTCCCCCTTAGAAGTTCATGTAAAAGACACAATTTATTAGTCCAGCCTGGATCAGCCCGTTTCCCTTAGTGGTGAGATGTGTCTAATCACAAAATGGGAGTTACTAAGGGTTGCTAGGAAGCTCTAGTCAGAGCGATCAATTTCTTTGTTTGGAAGTGAGTGTGCATGCAGTCTGAGGCAAGTCTGGTGCTTGACTGGTAAAAATTCTTAGGAAAGGAATGTGTGTGTAGCTCAAGCCAAGGAGGGTCTGTGTTGCTGAGCCAGCCCTAAGCTTGCCTACCTCAAGGACGGACACAACTCTTTAGGCTCCAGTTTTTCTAAATGGTCACTAAGAAGCTCAGTCCAAAAGAGCTTGGAGACTAGGAGTCTGGGTAGTGGTCTCACTTTGCACTGGCTTCTGGGAACTTTCTGAATTGCTCTTGTGGGCACACTAATGTGTTCTGTGTTTTGTTGTGCTCTTATCAAAGCACATTGTGGGGAAAATATGATCAACTGTTAGGGTTTTCCTTTAAGTTTTATGTGGGTTTTGCTCTATGGACCTACCTTGTACACTCGCTGGTTTACCATGAGCTTACTGCTTTTCATCTCATTCCTTTTTATTGTTAAAACTTATTCTAGCCAAGCTCTTGGCAGAAGCAAACAGTGCCATTTAGGCAGGCATGGGGTACCCACAAGAATCAGTGAGCAGCCCCTCCATCTCTGCTCTGGTAGTTGCTTGAATGTGTCTGTTAAGAAATCAGTGCCTTTCAGCTGAGCTCTGTGCAATCTTACTCTCCCTGAGTGACAACGTAATTTTAACCCATTGCCACAGGGCACTGTCTCTGCCTGCTTCTCTCTGGGACCCGTGGAATGAGAGGGATAGTGATGGCAATTTTCAGGAGCTGGTAGTGAAGGAAGTAGCCAAGGGCCACCAGGGGAGCATGTAACAGGATCTGGACTCCACCTCTGTGTTAACATGGGAGAGGATCAGCCTGCTCAGGTCTTGCCCTTGCACCTGCCTAGCTCCCTGCTGGGACTTACCTCTACTTGGTCATTCTTTCTAGCAGCTCTGGGAGTCGATTGGAATGCAGGCATCTCACCCCTCCTCTCTTCAGGGGCCCTGAAATGTCTGCCATGTACTAGCTGTATGAATTCACTAGCAGCCCAGTGTCAGACAATTGGCTCCACATGGCTCACTAATGGGATAGAGTAGAGCAATGATAAAGAGCAAGGGTGTGGTCCAGTAAGTGCTGGGATAAAGATACTTTGTTTAGATGTAGACATGAAGGAGTTCTCCTGGGAGCATGCTTCTATCCAGAGCCAGACAGCCTTGAAGGAAATCTGTGAGAGCTGGCTGAGGAGACAGCTGGGCAGAGTTCAAGCTTCAGTGAGCTGGGTGGCCATGTTGACGGCTTTACAGCTGGTGGCAAGTGACAAACGGACACATTATGAGATTAGGTAGGTGGGTGAGTGCACAGTGCAGGGCGCTCAGCAGCCAGCCAGGTGAGTAGAGGTGAGGCACATGCAAAGAATAGTGGTGAGGAAGTGATCAGTTTCTAGACATGTTTCTGTCAGGGAATCAAGTGTGCTTTGTGAAGGTGGATTATTGTCTCCACTTTCTTTTTTCCAGAACCTCAGTCTCCTCCATATTGAATTGTATGTTTCTCTGACCATTGTATGTTTCTCTGATATTGAATTGTATGTTTCTCTAAAGGAAGGATACTGATTAACTGCTCCCAAAGGCTAACCCTGCCCCAGGGAATGGAAATGTTCAGAAAGGAGGAAGGCATGGGGAAATGGCTAAGTGAATGAGCCTAAGAAATAAGCACCTAAGGGACGACTTGGGCAACTCCAGGCCCAGAGCAGGTGGTGACCTAGGAAAGGCTATAGCATGCTGGACTAACCTGGCAGGAAGAAGAGGAGGAAGAGGAGGAGTGGAAGAGGAGAAGGAAGTGGATGAAGAGAAGGAAGAGGAGGGGAAGGAAGAGTAGGGAAAGAGGAGGGGAAGAGGAGGAGGGGAAGAGGAGGAGGGGAAGAGGAGGAGGGGAAGAGGAGAAGGAAGAGGAGGGGAAGGAAGAGGAGTGGAAGAGGAGGAGGAAGTGGATAAGGAGAAGGAAGAAGAGGGAAAGAGGAGAATGAGGAAGAAGAGGAAGAGAAGGAGGTTGAGGAAGAGGAGGAGGAGAAGAGGAGGAAGAAGAGAATAGGGAGGAGAAAGAGGAAGAAGAGGAGGAGGAAGAGGAGGCAGCAGTGGTGGCCTATCTCATCACTGCATATCATAGAAACAGCCAACTTCCGTGTGCACCAGGGGTGAAAAACAGAGTCCTAGAAACAAAACAGTAGTGTTGGTGTGGATGTCATGATAGGATGTGAGGGTGTGACACCTCACTCTGTAGCCCACATGTCCATTTACAACACTCGCTTGCCATAAATGAGAGACACTTGCTCTGGAGACATACAACTTAGGAGGGCAACGTCAGCCAGGCACTTGCGCTGACAGTCTGGGGTGAGCTCCCTGGG